TCTTTTCACCCTCCGTCTGAAACCAGAGCCCAGTCTGCTCTGATTGGTTAGCTGGCCGGCTCTGTTGTGATTGGTCAACCGCTTAGAGATGTCCCGCCCCTTAGCCTATCATTTCCAATGTGTTGGAGCGCTAGCCAATAAAAGCACGAGTGTAACATAGTGATGTCATTATGTTACATAATTAAGCAAAGGAGTCCAATGGAGGCGTTTCAGGGGGGAATTGACCTTTGCAGATCATTTACACAAAAACCTATATTACACACTGCAGGGAAGGGAAAACCCCAAAAGCATAATAGGGCCCCTTTAATAAAAAGTGATAGACTTTTGCAAGATCCCATGAGGAGACAAACTAAATAATGCAAATTCAGATTGTTATTACAAATCTTGAGTGAGGATGCTTACTTCCAATGTGATAACAGTGTTAGTTATATATTTCAAATTTGTTTCTTGCCACCGGTCCAGCGTGCATGGCATGCATGTGTCAAACAGAACACACCCTTCTTACTGTAGGTCTCAATGGAAACAGAAACCCTGAACAACCAATAGAAACTCACAAACACTCATTAAAGGTGAATCTAAATCTATTACCATCAACCAAAATAAACCATGTGCCTGCCTTGCTGCTTCACTGATTGTTAGGTGCTTTTAAATCATAGCACCGACAGTGCAGCCACCCTCCTTCTGAGTCAGCATCGATATCTGCACAACAAATCAGAAGTGTCAGATTATTTCCCCGTGACCGTGACATATCATCTCCTGAAATGGAAAACATATATATATTCCAAACTAATGGTTCACCTGGGTTCAAATGCAGAGAGTTACTGTTGGTGCCACTTTATGTTTTGATCAGATATGCTTCTGAAAAAAAGAATTATAGCTTTCAGCAGATATACAACTATTTATGAGCAGGGAGGCAGATCTCTTCGGATTACATTTCGCTACATCTGGCAGAGCGTTTCCCCGTAAATCTGTAATTTCTCTTTCAGGAATATCTGATGTAATGTATACCTGCTAACACACTGCTGTCATCTAGCTAATCTAGAGGAGCTGTCTCACATCGTTCATGCAGGGGCAAGAAACAAAGAGTTTTTCTACAAGCTGAAGTTTTATAATCGACTTTGAATCATGGTTTTACTGTATATTTAGACAAGCACTCTGGAGCTGTTGAAAGCTCCCTCCCTCCTTCCCAGCCATCCTCCCCTCTCTTTCCTTTTCACACTTGTACTTACCCGCTGTACAACAACCACTCTCAGACAACAGCTTAGACAGCTCAGACTGTTGACAGACATCTGAGGAATTAATCCCCAAATGGACTTTTCAGCTCCTATATCTGTCTCACCTGATATTACCAAAACAAAAAATATAGATCATTTAAACTTGTGTATATTAGTCTACCAAAGCTCCTTAAATGCATATTCATTCTGCATCGCTGTCATTTGTTACATGTTATTCCCCAGGAGGAACAATTAAGAATATTGTAAAGTTGCATACAACTGCAACTCCTGACAATTATGGGGTTATTATGACATATACTAAAACATTGCATAACCGTAACAAAAGTAGAGTAGTCAGTGAACTGACTAACAGCTGTTCTCTCCCACACACTCCCCCCTGCCTGAAGCATCCATTGGACTTCTTTGTTTACTTCAGTAACATAGTGAAATCACTATGTAACACACGCTTCTATTGGCTAGCGCTCCAACACATTGTACATCTATAAGCGGTTCACCAATCACAACATAACTTGCAAGCTAACCAATCAGAGCAGACTTGGCTCTGGTTTCAGACAGAGGGTGAAAAGAGGTGCTGCAGGCAATATGAGAAAAATAAAGAGCTTTTATAACATCAAAGCATGTAAAATGTCACAGTAGAGGCATGTAACGGAGGTGATCTCTGGGGCCATAGATCTCGGCCTCCGTTACGGATTGTGTAACTTTGTTGGTGGCGAAATGTAGGTAGTGTGTGCATCTGTATGTGTTTTAGTTTGTCTGTCTCTGTTTGCTGGTTTTATGTCAAGTGTTCCCTTTCCCCATGTCTGTGGCTGTTGATTGTGTGCACCTGGTGCCCTGTGTTGTCTCCTCCCCCCCCACCTGTGTCTAATTGCTGATTAGTGTGTGTATTTAGTCCCTGTTGCCCTGTCTGTTTGGAGGCTGGTAGTGTGTGGGAGATCCCTGTGGTTGATGACGGTGTGCACATGTTCAGCAGGATTGAGGCTGTGTGTCATGTGTTCATGAGTTAATAAATGCCCACACCGGGTTCTATTTGGACGTTCTGCCTCTGCCTCCTTGATTGGTCGGGCCGCTCAATTGTCAGCTTCACAAGGCACAAAATACAAATATGAAACCATGCACAGAGACAGACACTAGATCAGATCAATACAACAAATATCAGGTCACAAACCAGCTTGTAATGACGGTAGAAGGTGTGTAATCACAATTAAGCAAGAACTTGATGATCCGAGACTGGATTTAAAATGATGACAAGCAGGCATGGCATGTATTAGGCATTTTATTTCCTTCCGATCATTGCTTATCTGACCTCATACATAAATCATGCTTTCATATGGCAGCTGCAACCCCTGCTTATACAATCTATGTAGATATGACATACACATAAATAAATGTATTCACAGAACAGGAAATGTGTTTCCAGACGGTTCATTTTAAGGTGATACTGAAAAGTAATTCATGATGATTTATGGTCAAAATATTTACATTCACATAAAGAAAAAGTAAAATAAATATTTGCATATGAAATTAAGCATATATGACACTTTTTACTTTGTTACACTTCGATACATGTTCAATTACATGGAACATTTGTAAAATAAAATAAAAATACACTTAAATATCATAATCCCTTCATTTTTGACACCTGAGAACTGTATTTGCTGAACTCAATTCTGACATTCACATAAGAAGTGCATTTATCCGTTGCAACTGTCAGTAAGACACATCATGTTTACCTGTGTCTTTAAAGATAATTCTGACTTGTATAGAAGCACATTTAGCCCGTGAAATTCCCTTTTGCTGAAGTGTTCACATTTTCATGTACATGTACAGTAAGGCACTGAAATAGCACCAAAAAAGCTTGTGTAAGCAATTATGGCTTCTTGATCAGTTGTACATAAGCATGTCTAAAATATCTACCATAAACAGTGAAGTAAGGAAGCCTTGAGAGGCAAACTAAATCTGTTAATCAATTTTCTAAGCCTGTTCTAAATTATTTTTAGCACCTTAACAGGTACAAAAAGCCATCTTGCTAAATGTTCTTAATCCACCCTCACCATATGTGATGATAAGGTAACTTGCCTCTCAGGGCTTCCATATAAAAAGACTTGGCGACTAATTTATATTCATTTTATCTTCTCGACTGTCTAAATTATTTCCGTGTCCTTTAATTGTTCAGCTAACATTTATAAAATCAGCTCACAAAACTGCATAAACCTTGTTAAAGAGATACGAAAAAACATTTATATACAGAAAAAGTACCCTGATATTGTCAGATAAACAACACGTGAGAATGCTCAGTCGCATATCAGTATGTACAGTTTAAACAGACTCTTAAAAACAAAGACGGAGGGAAGAATGTGAGGTATGGAAGGCAATGGTTTACAGGCAGCATCTGGGACAGAGGTTTCGCTGTGGGCTCAGCTGTCTCTGAGGTGTCTCCAGGGCCGACCAGTGCATTATACCTCTGGAGTATCTATACTGGAATTGTATTGGCCTGAAGTGAAGTCTTTAAAACTCTCCTGATAAGATAACCTGTCTGCTCTGTGGAAGCTAAAGGCTAATGGCTCTCCCGGTCACTGCACGCTATACCTGAGAGATATGCACCAACACAGAGGAATGTGGTTCTCTCTGATGTCTGGCAGCAGAATCTCTACAGATCTTGTATCCTACAACCTTCTCCTTATGATCCAGTAATGTATTTGTGTGCGTACAGTGTGTTTGTGTACTGGTAAACATCTCTCTTACTCCCTAGCTCTCGCCTGTAAATCCCAACCCTTTCTCGACATACACACACACTTCATTCTAGACACATACGTTGTTATTATTATATCCTTCAACGACTCCTGCTGTCCTCCCACTGCCAAGAGGTTGCAGCTGTGATAGTTTACAACTGAATTAATCTGAATCAAGACATAATCAGAATGGTACTGATGCTAATGTTTGGATAGCAGAAAGGTTCATTCATTCTATCCTACTGAAAAATAGAATACACTATGCCATTAATGAGCAGAAAACTGTTCCATCCTACATTTAAAAAGGGACAATGAGTAGAATTTTCCTCAGAAAACAAAGTGGTTTGCGTCTCCAAAAACCCTCTGCTTGTATTTTCTTGTATCTTATAATTTAGCTGTGTTTGGGACGGTTCTGGTTTGCCAGATGGGTAGCACGCCACATCGTTAAAAGAAACTAAAAAAAATGTCAGACACAGCGCTGAATAAAAGTGAATATAGCACTGGCAACACCAAGCAGAAAAAAGGACTCAATTGAACTCTTCCCCCCGCATTCATTCAAACTAAAATTCCAGTTTTAATACGTGTTTTTTCCGGATGCAGGTGTGTTTTTCATGACAGCAACACCTGGCCTTTTCCTGCAGTGTGTTATTATTTATTGCACTTTTCTCTTTCCGTCCAGCTGCAGTTAATAGCTGGAGAGATACAGATGGGGCAGCCGGACCACAATACCCACTTTTAATATACTAGACTACAGAAACAAATTCTGAGTACAGGGATAAGAAGAGTGCTCAGTTAGCAAGACACTGAATGTTGTACGCTGCCACAGAGTAGAGTAGTGGAAAATAGCTGGACGATTTTAGCAACAGTTGCCCACAAGTTACACCTGGAAGGATTGCTGAACATACGGTTAACATCAGACTATGAAAATTAACTTCCTCTATTCCTCTACAAGAACTGCCCCATTGCACACAGTGTACAACATAACTATGGTTATAGTATACACCAATCTTGCCTGAAGTAGTGGAAAAACGACCCACTGGAGACACCTCAATGGATATGAACAGGTCTGGTGACCTTCACAACAATAACGTTACAGAATCTAATTAAAAAAGGAGTACATGGCTGTACCAGATGAAGTCTGGTTTAAATAACTACTCATACTAAAAAGTCCATTTGGCAAATATCCAAATTGGAAGGCACATTCTGGCAAAAAACTGATAAATGGCAACTGTGTGGTATTCACGAAGGACAACAAAACGGTTCAATCATATTACAGTACAAAAATAAATTGAGAGTACAATAAATAAGACATTTGTATCCTGCTATGTACAGTACTTACACCAAGTTCATTTACACTATACATACTTGAGAAAAAGAGGTCAGGGCGGGTTTGGACTCTGAATGGCTGTAGCACCAAAGAGGAGGGAAGTCTCGACACAATAACCTGAAGATGGACCGCCAAATGGATGGGAACAGATGCTAAAAAAGACATGCAAACAACATGAACGCTAAATCAGTTACTGATCAAAAACCCAAGGAAATACTTCATCCCTGGAGTTAAACTCACAACCATTCGTTATTAACCATATAAGTTACAGATGTATTACAAAATGTTGATGGCTAAAAACATAAGCCTGGTTTATTCCAAGTATAATGGTTCTAAGCCAACCGATATGATCATTAAAACATTAAAAACATAAATACTACGTCAAATGTACTTTGTGAGTTACAGCGTAACGTGTTTTAATTTTGGTGATAGATTTAAGTCTCTCCTTTTTTGGATTACAGATTGTGCCTTTTATATTTAAAAAGCATAATTAAAAATACCTACCTCATGTGTTTGATGGTATTACAGTAGATCTACTCCACTGTGACAGGCAGGTTGGAGACAGAGGACGGTGTACATTTACCGCAGTAGCCTCCACACATCCCTGACACGCTGCTGCCATCCTGTGGACACATGGGGAATAACATCAGGATTGTGTGATTCTGCTGTAATACAGATGCTGATTATGAGAACAAAACAAATACTAAATATAGAACATAGCATAGAACCATAAGGGATATTTCTCCAGGATCACGTTGAAGCATTTTTCCCTGTCACTGATCTTTAGGTGTAAAACAGAGGATGTTTAAGAAGTGGGTAAAGATAGAAAACATCACCTTAATAGTAAGCGTTGTTTTTGGCCTCTTGAATTAGAATTTCCTTCATAAATGCACACAGACACTGAAGCCCACCAGGCACGTTGTATGTAGGCCCCGTGTATAAACCATAATCGATATTTAGTCCAAACATTGCATTATATGATCGCGCCAAAAGCACTATCCCACGACATGAAAGCCACAGCATGCAGCGAGTGGTTTGTCTGATCTCCTCTGGAGTGCTCTCCCAGTCCCACTGACACAAACCTGGCTTTGTTTAAATCTGCTTGGAGAGGCCCACAGCGAGGCCCGGCTGGCTGAGGGTATAAGAATGTGAACACTTTTTGGCATCAGAATTGCCTCATGTTTTCACCTTACCAATATACTCCCTCTGGCTTGAGCTCCATCTCAAAAGAGGAGGGCCCTTGAGAGAGCAGCTGCCCAAAAAGGGTCCTTTTTTCAACGAGTTTATGGAAAGAAGTCGAGCTGGGAATACGAACCCACTTGGGACGATGCCCACTCTGAAGATACTGTGGGTTGGAAAATGGGTTCTAAAAGAGTTGCTAGAGGATATAGAACAAAAATAAATTGTAAAAACTAACTCACTAATTACAGAATATAATCAAATATACACTTAAACTGTCGTAACAAGCCAGGAGCCCAATACCTCACTGTGAATGTGGTGAATTAATTAGGGATTTTAATGAGTTTTATTTTGAGTTCTCATTTTTAAAAGGGTGTTCTCTGAATCTTTCAGGTGGCTCAGTTTTGATTGAAGATTGCTGTCGTTTTGGGAGTTGTTCCCATAGACAGTGTACATATGCATCGTAAAGCAATACCTGTGATTTTCGTATATCAGTCACTGCATAGTTGCCCTGGGAGATCCATGAGGTTTCCTGCGCCACCCTGAAACCTGTTCCTGAGAGGTTGATCCTGAAGCGACCCTGACAGAAGAGAGAGAGAGAGAGAGAGAGAGAGAGAGAGAGAGAGAGGAGAGAGAGAGAGAGAGAGAGACAAGCGATAGGAGAATCTCTCTCTTCTCTGGCGAGCTGCACATGTTACTACACCCTTGGAACACATCCAAACTAGAGGAACTGGTTGTAAAAGGATGTTTACTTTTAGCTTTTTTAATGGCAGGCATGTTTACATGTCATACTGCAGCAGAAGAAGCACAAGTGTATCAGTATCACAACTGCATGCCTATTAGCTGTACTCAATGCCTTTTAGTACAGTAGACTTTTTTAAAAATATTTAAATCAACTTCCTCTAATGAATATTTCTCATTCTTTTTGTTAGCTTGTTGCTTAAACACCCGTTAAGGTGCTTGCCTCATATTTGGTGGCAATATTTTGGAGTGCAGTGGAAATGCCAATAAGACATCGATTGGAGCAGAATATTTTATCTTTTTGAGAAAGAAAACGTGTAATACACTTTCTTATGGACAGGGAAATGTCAGGATCACATGGTTGGACATATTTCCAAGAAGCCTCAACTGGAATCTCACTCTGCAAAAAGTATAAATACTTGTAATTTGTGTGTAGCCTTATTTATCTAAAATATGCAGAAATAAACCGAATGAGTAGATATAGAAAATGTTGCTAGAGAATGCTCAAAAGTTTTAAATGAAGCTCCAAAGCTGTGATATATTCAGTTCAGCCTTACGCAGCGTCCACACGGCGGCGTGCGTTGAAGCTTGCCGGCGGGCGTGTCTGAAGCTCGACCAACAACCAATCACATGAATCTCCCGCCCCGGACACACAAGCACGCGGTTTGATTGGCTAGAGCTTGTACTGGCATATGATTTGATTGGCTGACGCTTCCGTCGAAGCTTCAAAAGTTGAACATTGCTCAACTTTTGAATCGAGCAACGCGAGCAAAGCGAAGCGACGCTCCCACAATGCAGTTCGGCAAAGTGTGACGTCCCCCATTCAAGGTGAATGGGCAGAAGCGTTGAAGCTTCAACGCACGCCGCCGTGTGGACGGGCCGTTACACTCAGTATGTCTGTTCACTGGAATAGCTTACTAAAACTTGATAAACAGCAGAGCCATCATTAACGTTATTAGTTTAACTTGTTTTTTTCCTGCTATGACAAGTCTTTAGTTGGCGATGACAAATCATTTAGCCTCCTGTCATATAACTACCAGCTGCTGTTGTTCTCACCTGTGGACACCGTGCTGCGCTGTAGCAGTCTCCAGCTGTAGCAAAGGGAACGTTCTTGCCTTCCCGGGTGACAGCAAACTGCCAATCTGTAGCTGAGCAACAGAAAAGACAAACAAGTCAATCAAATGTGTCGTGACAGATATTCTTCAGAATTGGCATTTTGAAATGAGTTGCTACAGGAACTCAGATGAGCTTTTATAATGGCAGCTTGCATCTGCAGTAATGACCTGTGTTAGTCTAAATCCAGCCTTAGTTTTAGGGTCAGCTTAATGGCAATATCAGTATAATTTCATCTACTTACAGCAGTTCCATTTAATCCCCTCAAGCCTTGTAATTCTGTGTTGCTTAAATGAACCCTAAAGACATCTTGAGCCCATTAACCCTCATGAGCACGGACATAATTAAATGGCAAAGGAAGTTCTTATTTGGGAGTAATGTGGAGTTAACACTGGCACAGGATGCTGTTAGTGTGTGTATGTGTGTGTGTGTGTGTGTGTGTGTGTGTGTGTGTGTGTGTGTGTGTGTGTGTGTGTGTGTGTGTGTGTGTGTGTGTGTGTGTGTGTACTAGCCACTCACTGATGAGGTTCATCTTGCTGAGGTCCAGGCGGACTTTGGAGAAGGTGGTGAAGCCGGCGGCGGTGTAATCTCTCCGACAGTCACAATCCTCTCTCCTGGAGTCATTGGGTGGACACTGGGTGGGGTCATTGAGCCTGGGAAACACACACACACACACACACACACACACACACACACACACACACACACCACCACACACACACACACACACACACACACACACACACACACACACACACACACACACACACCCACACACACACACACAACCACACACACACACACCACCACACACACACACCACACACACACACACACACACACACACACACACACACACACACACACAAATACCTTATCTTAACTTTACACTTCCATGGAATTTTTTCATTTAGGGACAGGAAACTGTGCCAGGAGTCAGTTGGATCTTGGCTATTCTCATTGTTATCCTGTTCACTGTTTACCTGAAGCCAAAGATCTCTGAAAAATTCTCTCCTTCTCCAGTTGTCAAGGTGATTACTCCTGTGGATCTCTGTCTGCATTCCTGCACAGTAGACCTGAAGAGAATAAGATGAGGGAGGAGGAGGGAAGGAGACGTGGTATTCAGAGGGGAGAGTGGGGTGAAGGAGGGGATGAGGTGGTAGGATGGTAGAAAAAAGGAGATTGAGAAGAAGTGCAGATTGGAAAGAAGGAACAATAATGGTGTTGAGGAAAAAGAGTAGACCAAGTCAGTTTGGAAGGCAGTCAAGCATTTCCTCTGACTGTGTATCATACTACTATGAAACCTTGTACACAAACCACAGCACCAACGTATGCCTAAACTCAAGCTAGTAAAGGTGAATGTAAAGCACTGTACTGTAAAGAAGCCTTTACACAGTCACAACACAGCAGCAAAATGTATTGTAAATGATTAAAAAGTCAAGTGTTGCTCTTCCCTCATAAATAAAACCATAATAGCTTCATACACCTTTAAAAACTTCA